TAATAACAAGAACATCGAAATAAAAACCTATTTTGAGCAGGGGCGTAGTTAATGGAGGGTTTTAAGGGAATTGGAAAATTCTTGGAGATTTGTGGGATTTTGAAAGTTTTTTAAAAAATATATATTTTTTCTAGGGACCTTCTTAGAGATTTTTAATTAAAAGGAAACAAGAAAAAAAGCTGTAAGTTAGGCTGGGCAGAACTTTGAATACCCTCCACCATTTGGAACGAATTTGGGAATTCTCAAGAACAATAAAATTCACAAAAAAAAAAAAAAAAAAAATCTGTAAAAATCTTAAAAATACCGAAGGTAGCTGTTACATTAGGGTCAATACGACGACATGGACCTGCACAGGTAACATATGTCATATGCCATTACAATATTCAAATGCGAAACATAAAAAAACCGGTAATAATGTAAATAAAATCAGCAAAACACCGAATATCGGGAGATATCCTTACATGGGGGCTCTACGGAGACCTTGACCTGCACAGACAATTTTCTTTCACAAGCTGTAGTATCCATTACGAACTTCAAATACCAAATTTGAAACAATTCCGGTGAATAATGTCGCTAAAATCATAAAAATACCGAAAATCGGGAGGTACCGTTATATGGGGGCTATACGAAGACGTGAACCTGCACAGGCAATTTTCTGTCAAAGGCTGTAGTATCCATTCCTAACTTCAAATACCAAATTTGAAATAATTCCGGTGAATAATGTTGCTAAAATCATCAAAATACCGAATATCGGGATGTACAGTTATATGGGGGCTATACGAAGACGTGAACCTGCACAGACAATTTTCTGTCATTACGAACTTCAAATACCAAATTTGAAACACTTCCAAGTTAATAATGTCGCTTAAATAATTAAATTACCGAATTTCGGGAGGAACCTTTTTATGGGGGCTATACGAAGACGTGGACCTTCACAGACAATTTTCTGTCTAAGGCTGAAGTATGCATTACGAACTTCAAATACCAAATTTGAAACATTTCCCGTGAATATTGCCGCTTAAATTGTCAAAATATTGAATGTCGGAGGTACCGTTATATGGGGGCTATACGAAGACGTGGACCTGCATAGACAATTTTCTGTCCTAGGCTGTAGTATCCACTACAACCATCAAATACCAAATTTGAAACAATTCCGGTGAATAATGTCGCTTCAAAAATACCGAATATCGGGTGGTACCATTATACGGGGACTATACAAAGACGTGGACCTGCATAGACAATTTTTTGTCATAGGCTGTGTTATTCACTACAACCATCAAATACCAAATTTGAAATAGTTCCGGTCAATAATGTCACTTAAATCAAAAAAATACCGAATAGCGGGTGGTACAGTTATATGGGGGCTATACGAAGACGTGGACCTGCACAGACAATTTTCTGTCGTAGGCTGTAGTATCCACTACGAAATTTAAATACCAAATTTGAAACACTTCCGGTTAATAATGTCGCTTAAATAATTAAATTGCCGAATATCGGGAGGTACCGTTATATGGGGGCTATACGAAGACGTGAACCTGCATAGACAATTTTTTGTCATAGGCTGTGTTATTCACTACAACCATCAAATTACAAAGTTGAAAGAATTTCGGTGAATAATGTCGCTAAAATCTTCAAAATACCGAATATCGGGAAGTACCGTTATATGGGGGCTATGCGAAGACGTGGACATGCACAGACAATTTTCTGGCATAGGCTGTAGTATCCACTACAAACATCAAATACCAAATTTGAAACAATTCCGGTAAATAATGTCGCTTAAATCAACAAAATATAGAATAGCGGGTGGTACAGTTATATGGGGGCTATACGAAGACGTGGACCTTCACAGGCAATTTTCTGTCATAGGCTGTATCATCCATTTCGAACTTCAAATACCAAATTTAAAATAGTTCCGGTAAATAATGTCGCTAAAATCAACAATTTACCGAATATCGGGAGGTACCGATATATGGAGGCTATACGAAGACGTGGACCTGCGCAGACAAATTTCTGTCACAGGCTGTAGTATCCATTACTTACTTCAAATATCAAATTTGAAAAAATTCCGGTCAATAATTTCGCTAAAATCATCAAAATACCGAGTATCGGGAGGTACCGTTATATGGGGGCTATACGAAGACGTGGACCTGCACAGACAATTTTCTGTCTTAGGCTGTAGTATTCACTACGAACTTCAAATACCAAATTTGAAACAATTCCTGTGAATAATGTCGCTAAAATCCTCAAAATACCGAATATCGGGAGGTACCGTTATATGGGGGCTATACGAAGACGTGGACCTGCACAGACAATTTTCTGTCACAGGCTGTAGTATCCATTACTTACTTCAAATACCAAATTTGAAATAGTTCCGGTGAATAATGACGCAAACATCATAAAAATACCGAATATGGGGAGGTACCGTTATATGGGGGCTATACGAAGACGTGAACCTGCACAGACAGTTTTATGTCATAGGCTGTAGTATTCACTACGAACTTCAAATACCAAATTTGAAACAATTCCTGTGAATAATGTCGCTAAAATCCTCAAAATACCGAATATCGGGAGGTACCGTTATATGGGGGCTATACGAAGACGTGGACCTGCGCAGACAAATTTCTGTCACAGGCTGTAGTATCCATTACTTACTTCAAATATCAAATTTGAAAAAATTCCGGTCAATAATTTCGCTAAAATCATCAAAATACCGAATATCGGGAGGTACCCTTATTTGGGGGCTATACCAAAACGTGAACCTACATGGCCCATTTTATATCTTAAGCTGTAGTATCTGTTATGAACTTCAACTACTGAATTTGAAACAAATTAGATGAATATTGTCGCAAAAATCATCAAAGTATCGAATATCGGGTGGTACTGTTATATGGGGGCTATACGAAGACGTGGACCTGCACAGAAAAATTTCTGTCACAGGCTGTAGTATCCATTACGAACTTAAAATACCAAATTTGAAATAGTTCAGATGAATAATATCGCTTAAATCATCAAAATACCGAATATCGGTAGGTACCGTTATATGGGGGCTATACGAAGACGTGGACCTTCACAGGCAATTTTCTGTCATAGGCTGTATCATCCATTTCGAACTTCAAATACCAAATTTAAAATAGTTCCGGTAAATAATGTCGCTAAAATCAACAATTTACCGAATATCGGGAGGTACCGATATATGGAGGCTATACGAAGACGTGGACCTGCGCAGACAAATTTCTGTCACAGGCTGTAGTATCCATTACTTACTTCAAATATCAAATTTGAAAAAATTCCGGTCAATAATTTCGCTAAAATCATCAAAATACCGAGTATCGGGAGGTACCGTTATATGGAGGCTATACGAAGACGTGGACCTGCGCAGACAAATTTCTGTCACAGGCTGTAGTATCCATTACTTACTTCAAATACCAAATTTGAAATAGTTCCGGTGAATAATGACGCAAACATCATAAAAATACCGAATATGGGGAGGTACCGTTATATGGGGGCTATACGAAGACGTGAACCTGCACAGACAGTTTTATGTCATAGGCTGTAGTATTCACTACGAACTTCAAATACCAAATTTGAAACAATTCCTGTGAATAATGTCGCTAAAATCCTCAAAATACCGAATATCGGGAGGTACCGTTATATGGGGGCTATACGAAGACGTGGACCTGCACAGACAATTTTCTGTCTTAGGCTTAAGACTCCATTACGAACTTCAAATACCAAATTTAAAACAATTCCGGTGAAAAATGTCGCTAGAATCATCAAAATACCGAATATCGGGAGGTACCCTTATTTGGGGGCTATACCAAAACGTGAACCTACATGGCCCATTTTATATCTTAAGCTGTAGTATCTGTTATGAACTTCAACTACTGAATTTGAAACAAATTAGATGAATATTGTCGCAAAAATCATCAAAGTATCGAATATCGGGTGGTACTGTTATATGGGGGCTATACGAAGACGTGGACCTGCACAGAAAAATTTCTGTCACAGGCTGTAGTATCCATTACGAACTTAAAATACCAAATTTGAAATAGTTCAGATGAATAATATCGCTTAAATCATCAAAATACCGAATATCGGTAGGTACCGTTATATGGGGGCTATACGAAGACGTGGACCTGCACAGAAAATTTTCTTTCATAGACTGTAGCATCCATTACGAACTTCAAATACCAAATTTGAAATAGTTCTGGTGAATAATGTCGTTAAAATCATCAAAATACCGAATATCGGGAGGTACCGTTATATGGGGTACCGTTATTAGGTTGAAGTATCCATAACGGACTTCAATTACCAAATTTGAAACATTTCCGGTTAATAATGCCGCTAAAATCATCAAAATACCGAATATCGGGAGGAACCGTTATATGGGAGCTATACCAAAACGTGGACCTACATCACCCATTTTCAATTCCAAAAGTCCTGCAGATATAATATACATTTGAGGGGTCTAAAATGTATATTTCAAGGTGTTACAAACGGAATGACAAACTTAATATACCCTCCATACTATGGTGGAGGGTATAATAATTCTTCTGGGGAACCCAAGCTATCCCCAGAGAGTTGGGACAATAAGAAAATCGACTCCCAAAAAATGCTTCCATTTTCCAAATTTTTGTAAATATTCCATAGAAGAGATAATTTTTTTCCTGTTTTTAAAACCTCCCTTAGTATCTGCGAAATACATTCCCGTGTACGCCCCTGTTGCCAAAAGAGAAAAATATTGTTGTTACAATAAATTATTTTCAAATACTCGTAAAACAAACAAACTTTAAACAATTTTGACTTTTTCCATTTTTTTTTTGTTTAATTGCCGTCTAGACTCCGCATAGCGAAGCGAAACGAAAGGAACTTTAATTTTAAATATTTTATTAAAAATGGAAATGAAAAGAAACTTTCCAATATCTAATTACCCACCAACGCCATTACAAAAACACGTTATTAATTTCCCCCTTTTCTTTTTTTCTCTTCTTTCCTTTCAGGCAGACCCCCACCAACGGTGACCTGGCTAATGAACGGTCAAATCCAAAATAGCGTTGTCGATTACAGCTATGACAATACGATAAATAGCAAATTGGTCGTACGGAATTTGTCACGTATCCACCAACATGCGGTCTACACCTGTCAGGCGAGCAATTTTCACAAGAAATATGTCTCGACCAATATCACCATTGAATTGTATTGTGAGTATTGAAATGCAATGATTTCGCATTGGAAATCAATAAATAGTTTATAGAAATTGTTTTTATGTGTGTGTGTATGAGTATGTGGTGACTTTTGGCTTTTGAAAATATCATAAAGCCGAAAAGTAAATTATTAATAAGCATTATTAACCTGGTGAAATTTTATGGATGTCATTAATAGAGCAATTTCCCGAAAAGGAATGTTGAAGGTGAAAATAGAAGTGAACGGAAAAAATTGATGAAATTAATTTTCGGGAAAACTTTTGTTTTTGAATTTTAGGAGGTGCTTTTAAGAGAAAGGAATTTGAGACTATTTAGGTATTGGTTGTTTTTTTTTTACCCTCCACCATAGTATGCAGGGTATATGAAGTTTGTCATTCCGTTTATAACACCTCGAAATATACATTTTTGGACCCCACAAAGTATATATATTCTTGATCGGCATAAAATTCTATGTCGATTTAGCGATGTCCGTCCTTCTGTGGAAATTACTCTAGCTTCCGAACGAAATGAAGTAGATTGATAACATTTTACTGAAATGATTATTATGTCTGCAGAATTTTTGGTATTGAGAATGGGCCATTTAGGTCCACGTCTTCGCATAGTCCCCATATAACGGTACCTCCAGATATTCGGTGTTTTAATGATTTTAGCGACATTATTCACCGGAATTGTTTCAAATTTGGTATTTGAAGTTCGTAATGGATGCTACAGCCTCTGGCAGAAAATTGTCTATGCAGGTCCAGGTCATCGTATAGGTCCCATATATCAGTACCTCCCTATATTCGGTATTTTGACGATTTTAAGTACAAAACTCACCGAAATTTTTTGAGATGTCGTATTTGAAGGTCGTAATGGATGCTACAGGCTGTGACAGAAAATTGTCTATGATGGTCCAGGTCTTCGTACAGCTTCGATATAATAATAGCAGCCTATAAACGCAATTTTGATGATTTTAGCTACATTAATCACCGATTATTTCAAGTTTCAAATTTGAATATGGTAATGGCTTATGACAAGCAATGCCTATGTACGTGCATGTCGTATAGACTCCAATATAACGGCTATATTCTGTATTTTTAAGATTTTAACAGAATTTTTAAACGGTTTATATGTTTCGAAAATTTCCAAATTCGTTCAAAATGGTGGAGAGTATTCAAAGTTCAGCCCGGCCGAATCTACTGCCTCTTAAATTGTTTATTATTACTTAACTATCCTAGGCGTTGTTTATACACTTAGCCATATGGCCACAGAGGGTATACATTATTTGATACGGCCAAAACGTGTCTCATAGAAATAACAGTCTTAGACCTAGGTCTGTTTGTACCAAATCCGTTTTAGGACATTTGAAGTCGATCTAGCGATGTCTGTTAGTCGACTGCATGTCTGGCTGGTGTGCATGATAACTCTCGAAGGGAATATCCGAATTTGGTCCAAACTTGGTACATCGTAATATCATTATCAAACTTAGATCGAGTTCGGAGATGGGCAATGTCGGCCCCCTCCTGCTGGTACCTCCCTCACAGAAGTTTAAAATTTTTAAGATGATATTTTACTGATACTGAAGATGATATTTATCGCCCGATCCTGCTGAAATTTTGCACAAATCATTTGTTTGGCCCAACGACGAACCCTATTGAAATTGGAGATAATTGGTCAAAATTTAGATGCAGAATGAGATAAAAAAATGCCGCAAAGACAAAGGCCATAATTTTCACATTTTTTTTTTTAAATTGATTGAATAAAGCGAAAAAACGTCGGAAATAGCATCACATTTTAGAATAAGTTCAGATTTGTTCGAATTGGTCATCTTTGGCACGAATTATGGCCTTCAAACGGCCAATGAAGCCGTCACACTCTGCTCGAATGATGCTCTGGGGTATTTTGGCCCATTCCCAGCCAAGAGCTTGATTGAGGTGATCGACACTTTGGTATTTTTTAGTGCCGACCTTGCTTTTCAAAATATTCCAGACACAATAGTCCAACGGATTGGCATCCGGAGATTTTGGTGGTCATTGTGCACTGGAAATGAAGTGAGGAACCTTATTTTGTAACCACTCTTGGGTGGCGCGTTCTGAGTGCGTTGTTGGAATGTCCAAGGTCTGCGGCCAAAATGTTTGCATGCCCAAGGCTTTAATACACCCTCCAGAATATTTTCGCGATAATATTCGGCCTTTATTCTATACTATGGTGGAGCATATGGAAATGTAAGAACTTTTTTAAGAGTTTTTGGACCAAAAATACCTATTATTGTCATGGACTTTTTCAGGAATACATTTTTAAGGTTTATTCGTGTCCAAAAATCGTTGTAGTTGTTCGTTCGGTTTCCATTTTCTGAATCCATTCAATCTGGTTCTGCCTCTATGTCCAGTCCCAAAAAGGATGCAACGTGTATGGGTTGTGTCCATAACGAGACTGGAGTTAAGTGAGTAGGCTTGGCTGGACTGCGAAATAGGTGTAACGTTTCATGTGGGCCTGTTCTGCACATCGCTGTTTATCCGGGCCCAGTAGGAATTTAGGCGGCTGCACCATTCGGATCGTAATTGAGCCAAAAATACTCTGGTTTGTCGGTTTGTCTTCACCTGCGACGGTCTCCTAGCACAGTATTCACTCTATATCCTTCAATGGCTTCTGAGACAGCATTAGAGTGAATACTATTTAGTCCCGCTTGATAGGCCTGTTGATCTCTCTTATACCTCTGCACCTCTCTCTCTCTCTAGATCATGAAGGTCTTTCCTAACGTGCCTGGGCGGAGGTTTCCTATCCACAATATGGTGATTCTGATGGTTTTGTCTATAACACCCACGCAGGTATTGCATTGACAGAATTTTGTTTTGCTGTCGCTCCGTTAAGACCTTCGTCTCCTCATATAGGTGATCGACAGGTGTCATGAGGAGGCACCCTGTTGTGGTTCTTAGGCCGGCATTCTGGCAGGATTGAATATTTTTCCACTGCGTATCACTGACGTTGGCGCACCACACCGGAGCCGTATAGTTTACCACAGACCGGCCTATCGCGTTGTAAGAGGTCAACAAGGTTTTCTTATCAGCTCCCCAATTACTGCCGGCCAGAGACTTGAGGACCTTGTTCCTACTTCTAATCTTGTCGCAGATAGCTGTGGTATGCGCGGACGACTTAAAGAGGCTATCGAATGTGCCCCCTAATACCTTGGGGTAGTTGCTGGTCGGAATTATAGCACCATCGACCTGTACATTCAAGGATAGCCCCATCTCCGCCTTTGGCTTAGTGGCGGACGACTTAAAGAGGCTATTGAATGTGACCCCTAATACCATGGGGTAGTTGTTGGTCGGAATAATAGCACCATCGACCTGTACATTCAAGGATAGCCCCATCTCCGCCTTTGTCTTACTGGCGGATATCTTCAAATTCCTCGCAGTGAAAAAGGCGGTAAGATCAACAAGGTAAGCGTTTAACCGAACGCAAATGTCAACGATAATGAGTTTGGACGCCACGAGCGTACAATCATCTGCGTACGTTATAATCTTTATACCATCTGGAGGGCGTGGAATGTCAGAAAGGTAGAGGTTAAACAGTTCCGGAGATATCACCCCACCTTGGGGAACTCCCTGTTTAACTCTACGGATGCTCGACTTCTTGTTTCTGAATTCCACGTACTGCTGGCGTCCACACAGGTAGTTTACTATCCAATCCCACGGCGGCCGGTTCTATGTATCGGATTGATTCGGAGGTACAAATTTCCGACCAGGTTCCGCCAACCCAGCAAATAAATGTTCCAAAAATCTTGACATTTTAAGGTCAAATGAGTCTGTTAAGGCACTTTACGAATTTTCTAACTTGAAATTTTGTGGGTTTTCATAATTGGTTTCAATATCCCTAAAGTTATGAAGCCAGTGTTACCCTCTTAAAGAAAAAAATCTTACATTTTTTCTCACACTACCACTGTCACTTGATACCACTTGACCTGAAATCCAAAAAAAAAAAAAAAAAGCGAAACAAAAAAATCCTCAGCAACAATTTATTAAATGCCTCGAAATTTGCTAATAATTTGTCTGATGTCAAGTCAAGTTTATTGTTCCAATGGCGCAATGGCCTTCTGCCCCTGCCCCATATCTTGTTTTACTGTCATTTCAATGTTATTTGATATCTTAAAAGCTATTTGCAAATAAATGATAATCTAGGAAATTGAAGCCGTCGATGGTTTGCAACAGGAGCAACGGAGAATAGAATGGTCTATAAAGAAACGGAAATATTTGTGTTTGCTTTGATTGTGGTGGTGGTAGTGGTTATAGTGGTGATGGTAGTGATGATGGTGGTGGTGGTGATGAAAGAACAAATCAAATAATTGGCAAATGCCACCAGGAGAAATCCATTGTTATTTGTTTAGCTAACTATACAGCTTTGCTAAGCAAAAAAATACATCTAATATTTATTCCCACGGAATAGCTAGTCTCTGTCATTTCCTTTTTTATTTGTCTGTCTGTCGGTCTGACTCTCTCTCTCTCTCTCTCTCTCGCTCTCTGTCTGTGCCATAAACAAAAAATGTTTTATTTCATATTTGTTTAATAAATGTTCAACGAGCGAGCATATATTTTGCCTCAATAAAAATAATCATAAAAAACAGCAGCTAGACAATGCCAATATGCGGCGAGTGAACGTATCCTGGTGATGGCAACAAAACGTTTTCAACACCATCTCATTGTTTCCTGTTAGAGTTGTTGTTTTTGTTATTGGTGGATAGTTTTTGTCACACATATGTATTTCTAGCTGTATTGGTTTTCTCGAAAAAAGGTAACCAGATAGGATAAATGAGAATAAAGTTTTTTGTTTGCTTGGAAGGAGATTTGATACATATGCTTTGCAGGATATAAAAAAGATTGTATATGAGACATTCCAGAAGAAAGTGGATTTCAAATGAAAAATAAATATAAATACTAGTTATAAAGTATCAGTCGGGTGTTCCGACAGATGTATCCCCTCCACCAATGTCCGATTATTTAAATATATTTTGACTTCTATTATGATTATTCAAACTGCTGACCCTCAATGGAGTAGGTTCCCAGGAATGGACCAATATTGTCCATTTGTCCTTAATAAATATGATATAAATATTGCAACGTACCAGATCAGATCTTGATAAATGATATAAAACAGTTAAGGAATTTCATTAAGGCAACTGCATTTCAAACATAACAGACTTTTAACTGCCCGTCTTCTTTCAAAAGCCTTTAGTCTAGAGGGCACAACAGGCCTATACTACCATAAATGTATGCCCATCAGACAGTGCGGCGAATTGTTTCGCCCCTCTTTTCAACCTCACCTACTACCGGCTTCCTTCACTTTATATGAGTTATGAGATTATTTTTAGATAATGTTAAAAAGTCGACCGAACTATTCCATTTTCTTACATCTTCTAATACAGATACAAATATTGGTTTAGGTAAACTCACATGAATATCGAACATTCAGACTCAATTTTATCCGAAATCATAAATTTCATATTCATTTCAGGTCTCTGATTGAGAGAAATATCGGAAGTTATGTAGAATCGCTGACTTGTTTCGCAAATCATGACATATAAAAGTATTGAAAATTGTCCCAGTCTGAATAGAATCGGATACTAATTTCGCTCTTTATGAGCTTCATGGGTATTCAAAATTTTGACCCTCTGTGGAGGAAGTACCAAAAAGATTGGAACGATATATTCCATCTTTACAGCAGATCTTGTCTTACTAAAAAACGAGATGTGTGAAATGTGAATAGAACCGAATGCTTATTTCGGATTTTATGATTGTTTTGGTTCTTTACAAGTTTGACCCTCTGTGGGAGAATTCCCAGAAGAACTGGTCCGATCCCTACCATCTTTATAACAGATCTTGTGTTAATGGAAATATAGAGATGTGCCAAGTCCGAATGTAATCGAAAGTTAATTTCGCTTTTTATGAGCTTCATGGATATTCAAAATTTTGACCCTTTGAGGGGAAGGTACCAGAAAGATTGGACCGATATAACCAATCTTTAAAGCTTGTGTTAGTAGAAGTAATAGGATATGTGAAATATGAACCGGGTGCTTATTTTGGATTTTATAATCGTTTTGTTTATTCAAAACTTGCACCCTTGGTGGGGTGGTACCATAAGGAATGGTTCGATCTCTACAATCTTTATAAAATATCTTGGGGCGATAGAAATATTGAGATGTGCCAAGTCTAGATGGAATCGCATGTTAATTTCGCGTTTTATGAGTTTCATTGTTGTTTATAATGTTGACCCTTTGAGGGGGAGGTACCAGAAGGAGTTGGCCGATATATTCCATCTTCACAGCAGGTCTTTTTTATACCCTCCACCTTGGAAAGGAGGGTATATTAACTTTGTCATTCCGTTTGTAACATCCTTAAATATTCGTCGTAGACCCCATAAAGTATATTTATTCATAATCAGCATAAAATTCTAAGTCGATTTAACGATGTCCGTCTGTCTGTCTGTCTGTCTGTCCGTCTGTCTGTCTGTCTGTCCGTCTGTCTGTCTGTCTGTCTGTTGAAATCACGATACAGCCCACATTATTTGACGTAGAGCGCCAAAATTTAGCAGAGCAATTGGTATTGTGTCTAGGATGGTTGGTATTGAAAATGAGATATATCGGTCCACGTTCTGGTATAGTCCCCATATAACGGTACCTCCCGATATTCGGTATTTTGATGATTTATGCCACATTATTTAACGGATTTGTCTGAAAATTTGGTAGTTGTAGATCATAATGGGTCCCAGTTCGTGTGGCGAGTCATTGTAATTATAGGTCCACGTTTTGGTATAGCCCCCATATAACGGTACCTCCCGATATTCGGTAATTTGATGATTTTTGCCACATTTTTTTCACGTATTTGTCTGAAAATTGGTATTTGAAGGTCATAATGGGTTCTAGCTCCGTTGGCGGAACCTTGCATGTGTAGGTCCACGATTTGGTAGAGCCCCCATATAACGGTACCTCCCGATATTCGGCATTTTAATGGTTTTTGCCACATTTCTTCTAATGTTTCCTTTACCCTAAGGTGGAGGGTATTAAAAGATTGGCCCGGCCGAACTTAATGTTTTTTTCCTTGTTTAGTGGAAGTATTGAGATGTGTGAAATTTAAAGAGAATCAGATGCTTATTTTTGGTTTTACGAGCTTCATGGCTATTCCCAATTCTGACCCTTTTTGTGGGAGGTACATGAAGAATAGATCGATACCCAGTCTGAATGGAATTGGAGGTAAATTTCGTGTTTTGGATATTGGAAATTTGGACTCTTTGTGGGGGAGGTATCAGAAGGAGTGGATGGTTTTGCATGTTAACACCAGACCTTGGGTAAATAATAATATCGCGGTTTATGTAATTTGAAGACTATTGGACTCTTACATCACGTTTTATAAGAGGTATAATAATTAAAAATGTTGACTTTTTGTGGGGGAGGTAATTGATGGAGTGGGCCGATGTTGTCTATTTTTACATCTGACCTAGAACTGATTCGAATATTCGGATTTCCACAGTTGGAGTAAAATCGGATCTATTTATTTGCACAAAAATATTTTTGTTTGAAAATTTCGATCTTTTGTGGGAAAAGTACTGGAAGGAGTGGACCGATATTGCCAATCCCCGAACTCGATATAAGTTTGATAATAATATTACGATGTACCAAGTTTGGACCAAATCGGATACTCCCTTCCAGAGTTATCGTGCGTACCAGGCAGGCAGGCAGACGGACGGACGGACATCCATAAATCGACTCTAATGTCCTTAAAGGGAGTAGGTCCAATAAGACCTAGGTCTTTATTCACCGGAATTATTTTAAATTCGTAATGGATAATTCGGCCTATAACAGCCCCCATACTACGTTTTGGTATAGCCCCTATATAATTGTACCTCCCGATATTCGTTAATTTGATGATTTTAGCATTATTCAGCGGAATTTTTTCAAATTTGGTATTTGAAGTTCGTAGTGGATACTACAGCCTATAGCCCCCATATAACCGCACCTCTGGACATTCGGTATTTTGATAATCTTAGTGACATTATTAACCGGAATCGTTTCAAATGTTGTATTTGAAGTTCGTAATGGAAACTACAACCTACGACAGCCCCCATACATCAATTTGGTATAGCCCCTATATAATTGTACCTCCCTATATTCGGTATTTTGATGAATTTAGCTACATCATTTACATCATTTATCATTAAATAAAAGTTGCCTATACAGGTCCCCGGCGTCGTATAGACCCTAATATAAAGGCCACATACAGTATTTTTAAGATTTTAATAGAATTTATAACGGATTTTACTTTTTATTTTTTTTATTTATTTATTTATTTTTTTTTTTTTTGAAATTTCCAAATTTGTTCCAAACGGCCCGCCGAATATACAGCTTTTTTTCTTGTTATTTTTTATGAACTTCTCATATTCTCCACGTTAAAGTAAATTTGCTGACTGTCTGCTGCATATGCATTTCTGGGCATTATTTGTTTTTTTTTTTGTTTTCTTCTTTCCTCCTATTCACATTCCTCTTTTTTATTTATCTAAGTGGATGTGTGCGAATAGTGAGACACATACCTAACCAACATAAAGTGGCAAAATTTCGTTTTATGCTCTTTGCCAATAGACAACGACAACGGCAAATATAAAGTGCCAATAAACGAAACGAAATTTCCACCATCGAATCATAAATAAAACTAAATAAACATAAATAACAATAAAAGCAACAACAACAGTAACAGCAACATTGTCCAAGCAGTATTTCCAATATTGGACTAGAGATATCAATATTGA